GGAGAAGTCTTGGGGACTGAGCCTTCAACCTGTGGGATCTGACACTATCTCCAGGTACATAGTGTCAGAACAGAACTGAACTGAATTAGAGGACACCCAACTGGTGTCCACTGCAGAACTGTTTGCTTGCTTGTTCACTGGGAGAAATCCCCACACATGTGGTCACAGAGGTCATCTGTGTCGACTCTTGTTGAATGATAAAGAGTAGAAAAAGCACTTTAGAGAGACAGAGGGGGAGAGAGAGAGCAAAACAAACAAACAAACAAAAACAAAACAAAACAAAAAAAGAAAAAGCACTTTGAACTTGTGTGTGATTTTTTTCTTTTTTCTACTCTCAATTGGCCTTGTTACCGATCATACGTTCTTGGGCTCTCAATGCAACAGAAATTGATATGAGGCCAAAAGAGCTTTCATAGAGAAAGCTTCACTGGAGCTTATGCCCAAACATAAGGGAGGCAGCACAAGAGAGACAGAATTCTCAGACTCCCTCCTGAAGAGTCTCGTAGGGCTTTCTTACCAGGCAAAGTGCAGGAAGGGTATGCGGGCTGGGCTGAGCAAAGCAGCTCAGCAGATCTGGTTGCTATGGTTATCTTGAGTAATGGGCCAACCTGGTGTTCTGGCCTGTGGCAACAAGGCTGTAAATCAATTGTTCAGCACTCCTTCCTGAGGCAATTTTAGTTATCTTCATAAGGTCAATTCCTGGAATTCCTCAAGAACTATTAGCGTTTGAGGTAGTGATGTGGGTTTTGTGATCAGTGGGAGTGCTCTAGCAGAAGTGAGCTGAAGCTAAGCCTGTCTCTACTCTGTCTCAGTGTCAATGAGGTGGGGTTTGCTGGAACAGTCCTGGTTCAGGTTCATGGAAACATGTGGTTGGGAAGACAAAGGATGAAAGGATTGGGAGCCGAGGAAACTTTAATTCCTGGGCGGTCACCCACAGTTTGAAGCAGCAGCTGTGCTGCAATCGGTTATAAAAGGTGAAGTAACCCAGCGGAATTTAGAGATGGATCCAACTCCTGGGGAGCTGGTTCACTGGATGCATAAGGAAATGCAAACTAATAAGAAAATGCCCTTTGAGTTTGTGTATGTGTGTTTTCCACTCACAAAATCCATTTTTGTTTTTTCACTAGACTTTTCTTAAAAGTTAATAACTTTTCTGTGTTATAAATGTACAAACTTTAGACTGTATTTCCTGCTGTTTTTAAAAATAATTCTTGAGAGAAATACTCCCATTGCTTGCTGAGAAACCAGTTCTTCAGAACAAGGAGAGGTTTTTCTTCACACCCTGACTAAGGGTGGGACGCCAATGATCACAGCTGCTTGTGGCAGACAGTGAGGGCCTGAGAACAGTGCAACTGGAAATAAGGCTGTGGCCAGACACCACTTCCTGGAGAGAGCAGAAGGCTCAGTGAGCCTTGACCAAACCATAGCTTTGAGTAACTGCACTGTTCCTCACTCCTCCTAAAGATAACCACTGGCTTGGGTGTATGTTGAACTGGACAAGGCTTCCTTACCACTGCCCCTGTTTTAAAGAAATAATTATTTTTGAATATGATATTCTAATGTGTACTAAATTAGTCATGTCTTCTTTTTCTGCATACCAGCCTCTCAGTGCCTTGAGCTCCTGATTGGTCAGTGAGAGTACTTACAAAGGCCAATTGCCCAGTTTAAACACTAGTTTGGATAGACTAAAATAATTTCTAGATGAAGCACATGGCTTCAGGTACGACTAAAAGCTGTCCTGTGTCCTCTGGGTCCTGGCTCTAGGGAAATTGATAAGGGACCCTAATTCTAACTCCAACAATCCATGTGAGTCAGGAAAGCTCTCATGTCCCCCTGCTATGTACAGCCCACAATGGATTGCCAAAATAAACGTTCATATGCCTGCCCTTTGATCATGGTATCTCCTCTGCCAGGTAAGTATGTGCCTGCCCTTTGAAACACTCTCACTGAACCACTCCAAATGAATTTTGGCGCCAGATTAAAAAACAGACTTGATATACAAATCCATCTCAAAAGAAGGAAAATTAGCATAAGACAGAACTTCAATTGTAAGAGATAACTCTAACACCTCAAGGAGGAAGATCCTAAGGGTGAGAGCAGAACACTTAGGAGATCAATATTTGGCAGATGATAATAGGAAGCAACTAGAACTGTTGGGCCAAGTTGGACAATAGAAGGGGAGCTTTGAAGAGATGGATGGGCAAGATGAATGAGAAACAAAGAAAACTACTGGTGATCTGAATGAGAAAAGTTCAAAGTGGCCACTTTTACAGAGTACTTGTAACATACTTTATTATTCTTGAAATTAATCTAGTATTCCCTATTGTAGCAATATTTCCTAATTTCTTAGAAGAATGAAAATAGGGCCGGGTGTGGTGGCTCACGCCTGTAATCCAAGCACTTTGGAGGCCAAGGTGGGCGGATCACCTGAGGTCAGGAGTTCAAGACGAGCCTGACCAACATGGTGAAACCTCGTCTTAAAAAAAAGAAGAATGAAAATAAAATTTACCTATATTTCAATTGGGGAACTCAAAATCACTGAATCATAAAGAATTTATACTAACATTATTGGAATAATAATTTGCTTAACAAAGTCCAGAGTTTTTTTCAAAGATAGAAAAAAACTTGATTTCTTCCATAGTCAGTTTTTGCTACCTTAAGTCTGGAACAGGATACACAAATATATAAATCAGAACAGGAAACCCTATCTCAACAAAGTTAAAAATACTTAAAACATGATCATATCATGAGTACCATAGGGTACCCTTATTGACCTGCAAGGACAACAAATAATTTCTTCCTAAGGCAGAGAAGGAGGTTTTTTTTAAAGCTAATTTACTAATTGTATCCCTCTAGGCAAGCTATTCAATCTCTTTGAGCCTCAATTTCCTCTAGTGTAAAATGGGACTCCTACCACACATCTCTAGGGTTCTTAGATGTAAAATACTCTGTTCTATACCTGGCACAGAACTGTCACTCAGCAGGTTATGTTCTGCTCTCTTTCCTTCCATTTGCTTTCACAAAGCCTTTCAGAACCGCTTTGAGTCACTGTTTCTGCCCTTCTCTAATTCATAGAGCATTCGAAATCTGTATCACACATCACATATTAATCTAAATCCTTGGCTTGCTTGTAGAATCTGTTCAATTTCCAAAGACCCTAAATCAGCTTGTGACTAACATTCTACTTCTGTGACTCCACATGCTGCTGGGAACATAGTAGAAACTCTAATAAATATTTGTCGAAGGAATTACACTGTTTAACAAAAATAGCCTATCCAGGCAGGTATGCTTGCCCAATAAATGACCAGTGGACTGACAATGGTTTTTAAGCAGTACTTCTGACTCTTCCTTTGGTTCAATGGTTGATTGACATCTGTGGTAGCCAGCTTCCAAGATGGCTCCCAGTGATCATTATATCCTGATACTCACACCACCTGCACTGATCCAGGGCTGTCTCTGTGTGACCAATAGAATACCGCAGAAGCGACAGTGTTGACTTCAGAGGCTAGATCACAAAAAGGCATTGAAGCTATGGACTTGTTCTTGAATTACGTGCTATGAGGTGAGCCAATTACCATCCTGTGAGGACAGATGGCTGCATGACCTTGGGCAACTTATGTGGTCTTTCTGAGTTTCAGTTTTTCTTACCTTTAAAATGAGATATTTATTTCACAGGGTGTTGTGAAAACTATATAAGACTTGAAATGTAAGGCACTTAGCAAGATATCTGGCACATAGTAAGCTCTCATGAAATGTGACTAATGAATGATGGTGTAGTGATAGCAGAAGCTAGAGTACTACCAATTGATTGGATATAAGATGTGAAAGAAAGAGAAATTAAGAATGATTCCCAAGTTTTTGGCTTGAATAATTGAAGGAGTGATGGTATCATTTACTGAGTTTGGAGACAATGGAGGAAAACAAAAATGTTCTTTATTCGGACCAAAGATGCTTATGCCTGAACAGATAATATTATAAATATCTTTCAATCACTTAGAAACAGCATTCCATTTCCATTCTCTAAATTACTTAAAACTGGTTTCTGTTCTATTTAATTCCTTCCCAAATATGATACATTACTGAAGTAAAAGTGATAGAAATTCTAGAAGCCAAATTACTCTGTAATGAATGGCCCGTAAACCTTGATGATGAGTCACTGTTCTTAATTAAATGGTGGTAAGGCAAAGATGAACAGCAGCAGAACACAATCCGGACACTGTAGGCAGTTCTCACTTTTGTTTTGGAGAGAAATATTACCAAACATCAGAGAGAATTTATGAAATAAACATGAAATAAGGTAACATTGGGAGTTTATGAGAAATGGTAATGTACTTCTGTTAATTTTAAGTGAGGATTTACTGATAACTAAAGTGCTCAGGTTTGATGAAATTAGATTTCTGTTCTCTTTTTCGGACTCCCACTGGTTTAGCTACTCAAGAAAGGGAGGGAGTGCTTGATGCAAGTCTGGCTCCCCAGATGTACACATTTAGCTTTCATTTAGTTAGTAGGTCACAGACTGATTTGACAATCCTGTATAAAAAATTGGTTTCACAATTCTATTTTTTTTGAGACGGAGTCTCGCTCTGTCATCCAGGTTGGAGTGGAGTGGTGTGATCTCAGCTCACTGTAACCTCCGCCTCCCAGGTTCAAGCGATTCTCCTGCCTCAGCTTTCTCAGTAGCTGGGACCACAGGCACGTGCCACCACGCCTGGCTAATTTTTGTATTTTTTAGGAGAGGTGGAGTTTCACCATATTGGCCAGGCTAGTCTCGAACTACTGACCTCGTAATCTGCCCATCTCGGCCTCCCAAAGTGCTGGAATTACAGGCATGAGCCACCGCTCCCAGCCTCTATTTTTTATCTTTAAAATTTTTTATTGTTTTAGACTAGCCATGGTTTCACAATTCTTGATAATATAACTATTCATTTGATCTGAGGCATACTTGGCACTTCCCAGGATTTGGCAAATCCATTATGAAATGCCCCAAACAGTGTATTATGTTGACAAATGGAGGTAGTGCAGGGCAATTAGAAACAGAGTGAGTTAACTCATTAGTAACCAAACTGGGACTCAATCCCTGGTGCAGTCTGTGCTTACAGTGAGTTTCTCTGGGCCTCAGCTTCTTCAACTTTAGAACAAAGGGTCTCAATTCACAGATGATCATGAAGTTCTATTTCAGCTCTATTTGATTCTAGTAAGTTATAAGAAAACTTTGAGTTTTGTTTCTATTTTTGATAAGGATGGATTCCAAATACGCCACCCACAAACAATTTTACAGAAAAATTTGCAACAATATTTTTAGTGGGTTACTGCAGAGTGGTTCCTTCTATCACTGTATCATATAAAGCTAGCCATGGGGGCTTAAACCTGTGAACTTCAGTCAATTGTGCAAACAAAGCTTACTGGGGTATAACTAGTGCATGAAATAATCATATGTATATTGTCCACCAACTTCCTCCCACTACAGAAATAGAGAAATGAGGGTTTTTTGAGGAGGCATTTACCATATTGACTGTAACTACTGACTTTTTTCAATACTCTGTTTAATTTCCCCTTTTTGCCCCACCGTAGTTGGTGTCATGCAAGAATCTGTTTACATTGACTAAGGATATTGGAAGAGTGAAGATCAGAGGATTTTAAGTCTGAAATTTGGCATCACTGCCCTTAACAATATAACCTTATTTGGCGTAAACTACTCATACAGGTAAGAGTGATTATTTATTCATTTTTAGCTGAAAAATTAATGCTATAAAAATGAACAGAACCTAATGGTTTAAATTTTGAAAGCTGATCATTAAGAAAGGCAGTCAGCATATTAATTATGTAGGTAGTTGTTAGTAGCTGTAGTTAAGAGTTGTAGAACTTTTTCATTTGTCAAATTAGCAGAGATAAAATGTATGCAAGAGTGACTTGAGACAGACATTCTCCTGAGGGGAATATAGACATAGAGGCATTTTCTGGAGACCAGTTCTGTATCTGTAACATGTAATTTTTATTTGATTTCTTAACAGTATTTTGAAAATTTTAGAAAATAATTATCTAGTAGTTTTATAGTCAAATTTTATTTTTGTAGGAGTACTTGTACATAGTAGATACAAGTTTGGGAAGGTAAAGATGGTGACCTAATTGTTGATTACTATACTGAGAGTCCTATAAAGACTCAACTTCTGTCTGGTAAAGCCAGCCTCTGCAGAAGTCTTTTTATCTCCCTTTTGTTTGAAAGCATTTAATATTTATACAGAAGCACCATCACCTTTGCAGTTTTTAGTATACTATGCAATATCTACAAAAGGCAGGAGTTAATGCTTTTAACAATATCATAAAAGGAAGCTCAATTCCTTATGTAAAAGCAAAATCTACTGTGAGCAGATAACTTTTTCTTAAATAAACTGGCTCATTTCACTATCTGACTGATTTTTGAACTGGTAAAGTTATAGATTAGGTTTTATATATTTATACCATGGTGTACATTAATTGCAATCAGATTACAATTTACCAGGTTGCACTAGATTCAGACACAAAGTTACAATGAAGCATATGGACTGTTTTCTAAATAAAAATAGCAAAGAAAATTATAAAGACACTGGTAGACATTAATTAAGGACCTTGGTATTTGAACCCACAGACACTGCACAGTCTTCAAGTTTTCAAGACTTTGGGTATGGATTGGTTTAAAAAGCTATTACAAAATTATAATATTATATTTGGGATAAAAAACAATTTCTGTAAGCCAAGATGCAGAAAATAAATCAAACCATAATTCCGAAGAGGGATGGAGAGTAAAATCGCCCTGAGGGGCTGGGGGGATATAAGAATTTCAAAAGGCTGTGTATAGTACAATTTTTATGTTTATCAAAAGAGAACATGATTAAAAAAAAGATTGAGAAACCTTCTCTAGATCATGAAAGAGTGGAGAATGTGGTGCCCAGAGGCTAAGTGAAGAACACAGAGAATGTGGCACATTCTGAATAGAGATCATGGTTCTTATTTGACCAGAATCCAGTAACTTTTGTTATTCTTGCCTGAAGGAAGTGAGGAAATAAGTAGAAAAATAAGAATAAGAAGCAATTCATATAAGATTCTTCAGCACTTCATGTGTACCCTTTGAAGTGAGAAAGATTTAAATATGACACAAAAAAAGTAAAAACCAGCATGTATGCTGTGATTAAAACATCATATCCTTTAAAAAAAAATCCTCTGAAAAACACATGAGGACACTCTAACCAACAAGCATAGCAGCTACAGTTTTTTTGTTTTTGAGACAGAGTCTCTTACTATTACCCAGGCTGGAGTGTAGTGGAATGATCATAGCTTGCTGCAGCCTTGAACTCCTAGGCTCAATTGATCCTTCTGCTTCAGCCTCCCAAGTAGCTGGGACTTCAGGCACATGCCAGGATGCCTGGCTATTTTTTTGTTTTTTTTGTAGAGATGTGGTTTTGCCATGTTGCCCAGGCTGACCTTGGCCTCCCAAAGTGCTGGAGTAACAGGCATGAGCTACCACACCTGGTCTAGTTTTTGCATTTTTTTATAGAGACAGGGTCTTGCTATGTTGCCCAGGGTGTTCTTAAAATCCTGGTCTCAAGCAACCCTCCCGCCTTGGCCTCCTAAAGTACTGAGATTACAGGTAAGCCACATCTGGCTGCAACTACAGTTTTGACATACATGTGTAAAGTAAACTTTTACTGAAGTATGACAGTTTAACATTAAATATTTGAAATGAGATTTTAAATACTCTTTGGTAATGATCCTGGGATTTTGGAGTCTGTCCTTGGTTGCTATACTTTTCTTCTGTTCAATTCAGGATCTTATCTGAATTTTTGTTCAAGTGGAATTGAGTTAACTTCTGAAATATGAAAAGAGACTCTTAAAACATTATAGAGGAGTGTTTTAATCTAGCCACAAAATGACACCATTTTGAAAACTATATGTAAGTGATGTGCTAATTAAAAACCAGTCAACTGTCTATTATTATGGCCACAAAATACTTCTGTAATACTTTGGCCAACATATATTGATTGCATGTGCCTTAAAATTTTTAAAATTATATTTCTAGGGAAAATTAGTCATTATTACACTACTTAAATTGTTTTACAATCTAAGAACTATTCATTGCTCTAAATAAAACCATAAATCCCAGGCATGTAATTATTTACATCAAATTTTGTTTTTTAGACAAAGGCATTATCCATCATATTAAGTAACTTTTTGTATTTATTTCAAGAGGACAATCGTGATTAGAAAAGGTAAGAAGCCATCTATACTTTCCCATTCCATCTAGTACATTTTTGTTACAATTTTATTTCATTCAATGTTTAAAAAAACTATTAAGCTTAAATACTGTACCATAAATAATTTTAATATTAAATATCTGCAATTCTGTTCTAGCTCCTGTGTCAAAATTCAAGAAAATCTGACATAAATGAACAACAACACAACATGTATTCAACCATCTATGATCTCTTCCATGGCTTTACCAATCATTTACACCCTCCTTTGTGTTGTTGGTCTTTTTGGAAACTCTCTCTCTCAATGGATATTTTTAACAAAAATCGGTAAAAAAGCCTCAACGCACATCTACCTGGCACACCTTGTGACTGCAAACTTACTTGTGTGCAGTGCCATGCCTTTCATGGGTATCTATTTCCTGAAAGGTTTCCAATGGGAATATCAATCTGCTCAATGCAGAGTGGTCAATTTTCTGGGAACTCTATCGATGCATGTAAGTATGTTTGTCAGTCTCTTAATTTTAAGTTGGATTGCCATAAGCCGCTACGCTACCTTAATGCAAAAGGATTCCTTGCAAGATACTACTTCGTGCTATGAGAAAATATTTTATGGCCATTTACTGAAAAAATTTCGCCAGCCCAACTTTGCTAGAAAACTATGCATTTATATATGGGGAGTTGTACTGGGTATAATTATTCCAGTTACCATATACTACTCAGTCATAGAGGCTACAGAAGGAGAAGAGAGCCTATGCTACAATCGGCAGATGGAACTAGGAGCCATGATCTCTCAGATTGCAGGTCTCATTGGAACCACATTTATTGGACTTTCCTTTTTAGTAGTGCTAACATCATACTACTCTTTTGTAAGCCATCTTAGAAAAATAAGGACCTGTACATCCATTACGGAGAAAGATTTGACTTACAGTTCTGTGAAAAGACATCTTTTGGTCATCCAGATTGTACTAATAGTTTGCTTCCTTCCTTATAGTATTTTTAAACCCGTTTTTTACATTCTACAGCAAAATGATAACTGTCAGCAACTGAATTATTTAATAGAAACAAAAAACATCCTCACCTGTCTTGCTTCAGCCAGAAGTAGCACAGACCCCATTATATTTCTTTTATTAGATAAAACATTCAAGAAGACACTGTATAATCTCTTTACAAAGTCTAATTCAGCACATATGCAATCATAGGCTTGACTTTTGAATGGAAAACCCACAATATAGAAAAGCATTCCTGTGACTTTATTAGGGATGTTAAACTACATCATTAACATGTCACAGTTTAGATGACAATAGTCACCAAGAAAATCTCTTTGGTTTTTAAAAATAAATAAATATATATTCATAAAACTCAAAAAACAGTTCTACTTATACTGAAAGTTGAGATGGCAGAAACTTTCAGAGGCAAAAATTACGCATATTGAAAGGATCCCACTCACATGAAACTAACAGACTACTGTTTAAACTCAACTGTGAGTCCTTCTGTTCAGAACACGTTATTTCATGACTAGGATAAAGAAGCAAATGGTTTATGACTTGTCTGCTTTCTGGTAGTTAGAATACAAGAGTCAATCTATGGCCAGTGTTTATTGGCAATTTAAAAATCTTTAAAAATAAGTACCTGGGTGCAGTGGCTCATGCCTGTAATCCCAGCACTTTGGGAGGCCAAGGCGGGCAGATCATTTGAGGCCAGGAGTTAAAGACCAGCCTGGCCAACATGGTGAAACCCCACCTCTACTAAAAATACAAAAACTAGCTGGACATGGTGGTGGGCACCTGTAATCCCAGCTACTCGGAAGGCTGAGGCAAGAGAATCACTTCAGCCCTGGACGGAGGTTGCAGTGAGCAGAGATCATGCCACTGCACTCCAGCCTGGGAGGCAGAGTGAGACTCTGTCTCAAACAAAACAAAACAAAAAAATAAGTTTAAAAAAAAAAAAAGAAAGAAATAGCTTCACTCAAGTCTTATCTAAATAAATAATACAGTGAAAAATTCCAAGGTTTTATAAACACATTATTTATTTGGAATTATCTGGCTCATGTTATTGGGGAGAAGCAATATTCATTGACTCTTTATTTTTTAGAGCAGATGTTACTTATAAAAATGCTTAAATATTTGAATTAGACCGTTAAAGTAAAAAGCTATGTCATTATATGCCCATCTTCATCACATTGTGCATATTTTCTTCTGTATTTAATATAAATAATGTTATTAGTGACAAACAGTACCTGGCAGTTAATTTTTTTGTGAAATAAATGAATGAATAATAAGTGATTGTAATAGTATCTCAGTTAAGAGATTGGTCTCTGAAGTTATACTTCTTGGGTTCAATCTTGGTTCTACTTTTTATTTAGCTGAACGATCTTAGGCAAATTACTTATCCTATTTATGTGTTAATTTCTTCATTTGTAGAGCAGAAAATACTATCTTATTCATAGATCCTGTTACTACTTTGAGTAGATATTGCTTAGCACTTGCTGTCTGCTAAGCATTCTGCTTATATGCTTTACATGTATTATTTTAATCACTACAACTCTAAAGTATACTAATTTACTGATAAAAATATTGAAGTGGGCCGGGTGCAGTGGCTCAGGCCTGTAATCCCAGCGCTCTGGGAGGTCGAGGTGGGCAGATCACCTGAGGTCAGGAGTTTGAGACCAGCCTGGCCAACATGGCGAAACCCCTCTTCTACTAAAAATACAAAAATTAGGTGGGCGTGGTGGTGTGTGCCAACTATTCAGGAGGCTGAGGCAGGAGAATCGCTTGAACTCAGGAGGTGGAGGTTGCAGTGAGCCAAGATCACACCACTGCACTCCAACCTGGGTGAGAGCAAGACCCCACCTCAAAAAAAAAAAAAAAAAAAAAAAAAAAAAAAAAAAAAAAAAAAAAAAAAAAAAAAAAAAAAAAAAAAAAAAAAAAAAAAAAAAAAAAAAAAAAAAAGAAAAAAAAGAAAATAATGAAGTGCATAGTTAAGTAAATCGCACTCTGATTTTTTCCACTATCTAAATAAATCTTTAAAGATAATCATTTCTTAACGGTCATTTCTTTCTTCTATGTAATCTTGTAAGTAGACAAATATAAGATGGTGACTATATTCTGGATTAAGTACATATATTATGATTTTAAAAAGCATGTTCTATCTGCCCAAAGAGATCATAATCATTTTTGGAGCTATAAACTTCTTGTCTATTTCTACTTCCATGGTACCTGTATTCCCTTCTCAGATAACCAAACAAAAACAGCTGACTAAAATCAACCGTTAATAGTAACTTGCCACTTTGTTAGAGACTCATTTTTTCTCCACATAGTAGTAATTCCTTCAGTGTCCAATAAGAAGTTTAAAGTAAATTCATGTAATCCTTCCAAGCCTTTAATCTCATAGTGTGTTTTGTTCCTGAGTTAGAACTGTAAAATCAACTCACAGTACATTGCCTAAGAGCCATGTGTTCAAAAATCACTAGAGGTTATTCCGAAAACAAAACAAAACTAAACTAAACAAAACTAAACAAAACTAAACAAAACAAAAAAACCCAGTAAATTTTTTTCCCCTTTTCTACTTCAATGCTTAACTGAGAGATGAAATGTTCAGAGAAAAGTCTGAACACATCCTTGCTTCAAATATTTACAATGTATATCAATTTGTTTGTAGTAACAATTGGATTTTTGGCTCATTAATGCGCAGAGACAAAGGAGACTTGGGAAGTTGAGGTGACCTCCCTGAACGCTAGCTGTAAATGGAAGTGTCCAATCTAGTGACTTCCTACACATGCAAATCACACAGTAACTCAAAGTCCATCAGGAAGAGTTCCTGAGACACAGAGATTTCTCCACAGTTACAAAAGTAGTTTTATTCTTTTTATTTTTTGTGATGGGGTCTTACTCTGTCACCCAAGCTAAAGTGCAGTGGTGAGATCTGGCTTACTGCAACCTCCCCCTCTCCCTCCAGGGTCGAGTAATTCTCCCACCTCAGCCTCCTGAATAGCTGGGACCACAGACACCCACCACCATGCTCCACTAATTTTTGTTATTTTTGGTAGAGACAGGGTTTTGCCATGTTACCCAGGCTGGTCTTGAACACCTGGGCTCAAGCAATCTGCCCATCTTGGCCTCCCAAAGTGTTCAGATTACAGGCATAAGGCATTGCAGCCAGTCTAAGTAGTTTTATTCTTACGTGAATTTTGAGACCAAAACTCATCAGACTAAGATAGTAATGTTTGTTTAACATAAGCTCTACTGTATTTAATAATCTCACTGGACTTAGGAGTTTTAAAAAATATAACTTCTGGCCAGGTACAGTGGTTCACGCCTGTAATCCCAGCACTTTGGGGGGCTGAAGTGAGGAGATCACATGAGCCCAGGTATTTGAGACCAGCCTGATCAACATAGCGAGACCATGTCTCTACAAAACATAGAAAAATTAGCCGGACATGGTGGCACATGCCTCTAGGCCTAGTTACTTGGGAGGCTGCGGGAGGATCTCTTGAGCCCAGGAGATTGAGGCCGAAGTGAGCCATGATTGTGCCACTGCATTCCTACCTGGGTGACAAAGCAAGACCCTGTTTCAAAACAAACAAAAAAACCCAAATATATAACCTCTAAAAATAATTATTTAAAAATCACTTAACAGATCTACCAGAACTTTAAACAAAAAATATTTCTAGAGTTTCTTACGTTTAAAAAGGCAGGAAAAGAGACACACAATTTCTCTTTAAGTTACTCATTCTGATAAACTCACACTGTAACTTCATATACTGAAGAATGAACTACGTACTCAGCTCACTATCATCATGGATATCTTTATACCATAGATGCTTTCCTAAACAGTTGATTTTAAATCATGTTGATTTTTTTGTATAATTGAAGAATTGGCTATTTAATAGCATAGTAAATATTTTATTTAAAATACCACTGTTTTTGGAGACAGAGTCTGTCTCTGCTGCCCAGGATGGAGTACAGTGGTGATCATAGCTCATTGCAGGCTCAAACTCTTGGGCTCAGGTGATCTCACCACCTCAGCCTCCTGAGTAGCTAGGACTACAGGTGTATGCCACCATGCCTGGCTAATTTTTATATTTTTTTGGTACAGATGTGCTCTTGCTATGTTGCCCAGGCTAGTCTTGAACTCCTGGGCTCAAGTGATCCTCCTGCTTCAGCCTCCCAAAGTGCTGAGATTATAGGTGCAAGCCACTGTGCTTGGCCTTAAAATCACCTTCAAAACTTACCCTATTTTAAAGTTTGGATTTCAAAAAGAACAGTGTTTTCAGTGTGTCTGTGTGAGTTAAAGTCAAACACAAATTTGGGGTTTCAGAAATCTCAAATTTTGACTCAAAGGCCAAAAAGATTGTATCTTAAACTTTAGAAAACAGGCATATACACACTCTCATAAAGGCAGCTTTCAAACTATAATCAGGAACATAAACCATTAAGACTAGACAAACAAAATTTAGGATAAACAACTTAACAGGGATCATGAGGTCAGGAGTTCGAGATCAGCCTGGCCAACATGGTAAAACCCCATCTCTACTAAAAAAAAAAATACAAAAAATTAGCCAGGCGTGGTGGCAGGCACCTGTAATCCCAGCTACCTGGGAGGCCGAGGCAGAAGCATCACTTGAACCTGGGAGGTGGAGGTTGCAATGAGCTAAGACCATGCCACTGCACTCCAGCCTGGGCAACAGAGCGAGACTCCATCTCAAAAAAAAAAAAAAAAAAAAAAAGAGATAGGGTTTTACTTTGTTGCTCAGGCTGGGAAACTTAAAACCAAGGAATTAATTTCTTTTTTTTTTTGGAGGAGTAGGCTGGGCACAGAGAAGCATGGTTGTTAGAAACAAAAGATAAATTTATAATGATCATGTAATCCATGAGATTTTCCTAAGTACAATTATTAAAACGCCACATTCAAACTGAATGTGCACATTATATTCAAAAATCTTACAAAAGAAATGCAGAAGATTAACCAGTGTTAATATAATATAAAGAATAAATATATTTTGTTTTAATGAGAATTTAAATTTATTTATACAACATGATAAACTTTGGGCAATTGTGGTAGCAGATCTAAAAGAAACATCAGTAATGGAGAACAAGAGCCGACAGAATATTTTAAGAAATCCATAATGCCATGCTAACCAGTGTTCTGTGATGAACACAAATTTATCATAAAGTCTGGCCCTAAACAGGTAAAAGGAGAACTGAGACCAGAAGGGAGCCACAAAACAGCCAGGCGTGTTCACACTGGCTAGCAAGGAAAACCATTTAAAGGAAGCACACTCAGAAACACTCTTTCCTCAGGCTGAGTGTCTGTGTGACTGGGGTTTGCATAGTTCTGAGAACTAAAAACAGCAGCCAGACCTTCTGGGCACAGGAACTGTTCAGAAAAGAAAGTGATTGTGTATAGCAATTTGCATTCTCAGAGAAACTGTTTCACTTCAACTTCAGTTCTTCGAATTATACATGAGTAGGTCAGAGTGACAGAAAGGTCTAAAACTGAATCTCCCCACACCTTCATGATGTAAGGCTGTCTGCAGGAGTTAGGAGAGAGGAGAAAATTCCACAAATTCTCTGCTTAGTGGAGCCCATGAAAGAAGGCAAGGAGCCAGGAGTTGCATTTACCTTGATAACTGTGCTATTTCTTTCTAAAGTACTTTAAATTTAGGGGTGAGAGGAAG